CAGCCCAGTTAATTGTCTTTGTTAGGCCCAAACAAATTAGACTGAAATCTCCACTGATGATAAAAAATGGAAGATGTAAATTGATTGAGTAAATTATTATTGCCTATACAGAAACCAGGCTGCTACATTTAATTAAAATGTTTTTTACTTTCACATTTCTTTCCCCAAAAATAGAGATTCCTTTTTTGTCTCTGATTTTATGTTTTGACAGCTGTAAATAGATACGATATTTCTGTTTACTTCCATTATTGTGGAAAAAACACATTGTCTTGCTTCTTTTTCACACCTCTTATAACTTTTGCAAAATTCACCCTTTAAACTGTAGATGAACACAAAGTGGAAGATACTTTATAAGTTAAAAATAATGTTTTGCTGCAATTGGACCTGCAAGTCTTTCAGAGTAGAAATCTGCCCACTTTGCAAGAGGGACTGAGTTTTTTCCCCTTTTGGGATTTTGTCACAGTATATAGTTAAAATCAAAGCTATGGGAGCTTATGTTTTATTGTTGCAAATTAGTGTAAAACTCTTGTCTCTACAAAAGTTGTTTACTTTCCAGGATGCCTCATGTGTCTTATAGTCTACTATATGTGCAGAGAAAAAGAAGATGAAAATAGGACAGAAAAAACAATTTCTTATAAAAAAACAGAAAATTCTTATTTCATAAAAAAAAATGAAATAAACTTTAGTAAGGGAAGTCCACAGCCTCTACTTTTGGTCCCTACTCAGCTACTTGCAGCTAATGCTAAATAGATTTTTATCTAAACTTATGTGCTCCTCCTAGTCATTTGTTAGCTTTACCAGCTGACCAGATTTATTGGACAATGTTAAGTTTTAGTTCACCAAAGAATAATACTAAGGTAACATCAATGCAACCTGCAACATCATTGGTTAGCTTGCTAATTAGCTGCTACAGTCAAATGTCTTTATAGTTTTGCAGTATACTACATCAGTACCTGGTTTTGTCTCAGTATCGGGTTAGGTGGCAGTGAATTAAGCGCTACCAAAAGCATAAATTCATGAATACTGAATTTAAGTACTATCTCTGACTAAGCTCTTCTAACAGATGATCCCATTGTAGCTCTGGCTGGTTGTTCAGGGTTGCTTTCCTGCTGGAGGATGAACTCTAACCCAGTCTCATTTTATCACATCCATCCAACTCCACTCTAAATGGCTCTTGGTTGCTGCAAAAGAAAATCAGCCCCACAGCATCATACTGCCACTACAAAATTTGGCTGTGTGGAAGCTCTAAGGTTCAATGTTTTCTACTGATTTTTCTGCACATAGTAATTCCTATACTCTAAAAGAATGTTTTAGTCTCTTCTGAGGTGAGAAATTTCCTTCACATCCACATAGCTTGTGGCAAGCTGAAAAAAAGACTTCCTATGGCTTTCCTTAAACAATGCGTTCCCTCTTACCTCTGTTCAATAAGGGCCAAATGTTTTGCACTCCAGTTATTAGAACCAATGATCCATCTAGATCTTTGTCCAGGATTACTGAGGGCCTCTTGGCTGTTTCTCAGATACTGCAGGTATGCAGTTGTAAAATACTGAGCTGCTGTTTTTCTTCCATCTGTTTCTGCTGTTTTTCCTTGCTCTTCACGATGCTCACCTATTTTCTGTAGCAAAAATACCCTTATATCTTTTAGACCTATTTCTTATATCTTATTAACTTATACAGTCTTAAATGGATTAGCTCCTCCTTATCTTAGAGACCTTTTAAAATTCCAGTCTGTGTCGAGAAGTCTACGCTCTAATAATCAACTATTACTGACAGTTCCTTGGACTCGACTTAAGAGGAAAGGAGATTGGGCCTTCTCTGTTGTTGCTCCAATTCTGTGGAAACATTTACCTCTTCAAATTAAATCCGCCCACAGCCTGGATCATTTTAAATCGCTTCTTAAAACTTATTTTTATTCTTCAGCTTTTAATTGAAGCAGTATTTCACATTCTGTTTTGTTAATTGATGTTGTTGTCTTTCCTATAAAGCACTTTGATGCAGTTTTTTACCTGTTTTTAAAGTGCTGTATAAGTAAATCTGACAATGACATTTATTCTGAGACATAAAAAACAAAGATGGTGTTTTGATTTAAATCAGTAGTAAAATGGGCTGGAAGCAGATTCATACCACATTCTTCTGGTTTTTAGTTGCAACAAAAAGTACAATGGAAAGTATTTTCCATAGTTTGTAAAGGTTTCTTATTCTAAAGGTCAGTTTTGATTAAAGGAAACAGGAAACAACAGAAGACAAAGGAAGAGAGCGGTGCCTCTCGCCTTCATCTCTGTACATGAGAACGTCAAACACTCCTTTTATTATAAAACTGTCAGCTGATCAGCCGGCGTGTGATCACGTCATGGATGACGGAGCGCAGTGAGGTCTAATGATGGGATGTCACTGAAGAGGCTCAGACGCTGCTGCTGGTGGGAGAAAATGAACAGGACACGGCTTGTTTGCAAAAGGAACATAAACTCATTATGGTTTTACAATGAAAGGTAACAGGAACACTTGCCAAGCCGGATTAATTGTTTAACAGCACCAATCCCATACAACTAGCTTTAGCCTCCAAGTATTCACAGCGTAAACTGGGCTTCTTTTGAACTAATTTGCAATCAGTGATTGATTTTAGTTAATTCAAAGAAATAAAAAAAAACAATGTTTAATGTATTATATTTATTATCTTGAAAAGGCTTTGCAGTGGTTCTTAAAAGTATTCACACTCTATTATTCAAACTATTCACAAAAATTATCAAATTAACTAAGTGTTCAGGGTACACAGAGGAAATAAATTACAGCGAATGTATTTAACTTAAAATATATATAAACATATCAGCAATAGTTTCCTAAAATTCTCTTATTTTAACAGTTTAACTCAAATTCTGGCTTGCACCTTCAAAAGGCTTAAAGGGATAGTGAGTATTTTACAGTAACCATCTTTTATAAATGGTAAAGAGACCCTTTATTAATAATTAGCAGATTAATTTATAAACTGCATCTAAACCATTTATAAAAAGTAAATAGATCATTTGTTAAGGTATGAAGTCCACTAATGTTAAGGTTAGGGCTAAACTAACATGGCAGGGCGATATTATCAATTTACCTTGTAGAGATGGTTTAAATGCAGTTTATAAATGAATATCAAACATTACTAAACTGTAAATCAATGATAAATTGTCTCTATACAATTTATAAATGATTGCTATTGTAAAGTGTTACCAAGAGATCTTATAGGTCAAAAATATTCTGGCATTTCCACAGTATTTCATACATATTCCTTAAAGGAAAATTCCGGTTTTTAACACTTTTAGCCCATTTTCTGTAGTGTCCAGGATGAAATCGAATGAGCGACACCAAAATTTTGACAATTGGTCCTGTCTCTGCTATTTGGCTCATGCAGAATCCCCCCCATGGCTGCTTCAGAATGGCTTCCATAGTGCATGTCCGATAATGTCCTTAAAACAACCTTAAACGTTCTTTTTTTAAAATATGCTACTCACCGGGTCGTCAG